GAGAATTTGGCGATACGATCATCGAACCCAATGCCACCCACACCGATGACATCCATCTGATCAGCTGGATTATTGAGAGTACCATATAAGGGACCATCATTTCCTATAGCTGATACCATTATAACCTAGAATTATGTACATTTGTTTAAAAATATTACATAAACATACATATATCTGCAAAGAAAATATGTGTGAAGTCAACAAACTCATAATGGGCCAGTATTGTTGACTATCTCTAGTCACCCCTTTAGTCTATGCCTTTATAAGGGTTCAAATCCTACCATGTACTAATATGTTTTTCAATTTTCAATTTACATATGTACATTTATCTGACGTTCTTATGGTGAAGATACACAACTGCACATGTCTGAGAAGAGGTTCAAAGATATGTATGAAGTCAGTCGCTCTGGGCCTGTGTGGTTGACTACGGCCTAGTCACACCTAACTTAGGGTAGACTCCGAGCCTCTTAGTGGGGACGTATAGTGAGTTGATGATGAGCTGATTACAACAAAGCAATCAGTAATCATGACATGTCATGTAAATTTGTTTTAAATATTCAATAGAATAAACCTCATAAATTAATGGAGTTTAAACTAGTAATAAATATTTAGAAATTTAGGTTAAGCTCTAAGTTTTGTCTTTTAATTATGTTCATACCTTATTAGCACTTAGCTCCCACACTTTATCAACAAAGGGATGGTCCATAAAATCTGGTCCACCAATACTTAAATTAAGTACGTCAATTTTTCTCATAATAGCATAATTGAAAGCGTCTAAAAACCACGACGTATATGAAACCTGGAATTTAACAATCATGTCCATTTAAAAACGGCAAAACAAAAAAAAATATGTTCCTTCCTAAATAATGATTTTAAGACAGTGAATATCAATCACATAAATAATCTTTCTAATATTACAAATGCGAATGTTTAGATGGATGGATGTTTTTGTTTGAAGGTATCTCCGGAACGATTAAACCAATCTTGATGAAATTTTGTAGACATAGAACATAGTAAGAACACATAGGTAATTAAGATTTTTTTTTAATTTGGGAGACGACAGCTAGTATAGAATAAATTGATATAGTTATTAAGTTTAAAATTACCTGATTATCAGTAAAAACTCTAAATATATGTAGATCAGCGTCAGGAGCGAAGCCGAGACAGTCAGCTCGAGAAGCTATAACTCCTGCCACAAAAGTTCCATGACCCAATGCATCATCCAACGTATTCTCCCCTGTCCAATCAGTACGCTCTCTTACACGACCAAAGTGCGGGTGATGACGTGCTAGGCCAGTATCGAAAACTGCCACTCTTATACCTTCACCTAGACATGATACATGGAAAGAGATGCATAAATTAAAAAAAATATATAAATTAGACTAATCCTGACATTATGAAGAAAACATCTTAACACATTTACTGCTGTCACGATTTAAAAGTCTAAAGTGAACGTACGCAGCGAGGTACTGGCATTGATCGTATTAATTTTCAAAATCAGTAGACTTTTTAGTTTACAGGAGATTACAGTAGAATAAATCTTATATATAAAATTATCGTATTACAATTTTCGTTCCCATACTCCTCCGAAATGGCTTGACCGATTCTCATGAAATTTTGTGAGCATCATGAGTAGGTCTGAGAATCGGCCAACATCTATTTTTAATCCCGCGCGAACGGAGTCGCGCGCGACAGCTGGTGGATAGATAAATCTAAGGCACCTTTGTAGAAGGTGGTTTTATGAAATGATAAAGAAGAAACAAAAAGACTTTACTGTTGGTAATAATATAAAGAAGTTACGTAATGAAGTGGCACAATGATCTCATTGTTATTTACGATATATAACGATGTTACCACACCACAGATTGTGGGAATGTTTCTCAACTCAACTGACACTATCTGTTACATAAATGGGTCAATCACAAAACGTATACAAAAATGAACTTTATTACTTTCATATTCATAAAATAATATCTAGTTATAAGAAATTTTGTTTTAAAATTATTAATTTCTAGATAGATGGTGTTGTATATGTTTAGAGAATGCTGTTTAATTATGATTGCATTACAAAAATAATCAATTTTACTGCCAAAAATCCCATTAGAGCACATAATACTATCTCTATGCTTTTTATGAACATAAGAGAGATGACAATATATGTTCATACATTAGTTTCTACAAAGGAATTCAATGGCCAACTAACCTGTAACACCCAACGACCACAGTAGATCTGCCTTTAATACTGATGTAATTTGTCTTGGAACTGTTCTTAGTAGCTTCCTTGATGAATATCCTTCATTCTATCACAAAGAGAATTAGTTGAATTATGAAGTCAAGCAGATCAATATGCTATTCGATATTTTATTTCACATTTATAAACTACAAATACTTGACTTTTCCAAACAAAATTGTTTGATTCAATGTTAAAACAATATTTTTTTTTTATAAAACCTATTCTTTTGTTTCTACATATGTTAAAAATAATACTAAATTAAATTCAGAAACACTACATGGTTGAGAACAAAAATACTAAATTACCTCTCTCGGTTTTCTAATAGAATGTAATGCTCTCCGACGATGATTCCGCCATCCCGTGTATAAACACCCATTGGGACCACAATTTGTATCCTGTTGCAAATTAGAAATAAATCAAAATGGTTTGAATATTACTGGCCAACAACCATAAGGCTTTGTCAACATGATAAGAAGCTCAAGACTAAAAAGTGTATGACAGTCCGACCACTCATTGAAAAGAGTTAGATCTTGTAACAGATGAAATGTAACTATTTTCTTTGGATGGGATGATTTGTGACCAAATTACTACAAAATTGTAGCAGGACTTATAAATCGCTCACCTCCTGTACATATTTGATGGTACGTTGAACTATCCTCTGTGCTGTAACACGACGGATAGCAGGATGGTCTTTTAATGCATCAAGTGCTGCTCGACCACCTTCATTCATTACAATCACATCGAAATCGCTCGGATAATCTTTAGCAGGATTTTCACGTTGAACTATAGTCCAATTCGATACCTGAAATGAAAGGACCACAATACCTTATGATAATATTTACTTTGATTACTGGTTTGGGAATAAAATTAGTTAATTTTACTGTTTTTCGATACAGCGTTTCTAAACAGTGATAGAAATTTCTTAAACTATATACATTTTAGATTTTTTTTACGTATTTTGAATTATATATGATTGTTGTGTACATACATTTTAAGTAAAAAACAAAATTATTCTTTGTATTGTCAAATTATTACATATTATATTATTTTCCAACTATTCTAAAACAATTGTCATGATTATTATGCAGTAATTCATGGTCATTCAGCTTGTGTGTAATTTTTGGTGTGTTTAATTTTATGACCCTCCTTATCTGATAAGTCGGTAATTGACCCTTTTGATATAGAAAGACTTTTAACTCTGTTTAGACATGTGGTGTATTAATGAATTTCATCATTGTTACAAACTTTATACAAGTTACCAAATTATTTCAACATTTATTTCAACAGCATTTTTGCTGAGTAACATTCTTGTGTGTTATCTTTTAGGAAATGTTTCAACTTTAGAAAAAACCATACAGACAAATTTAGAACCTCCTCCTAAGTTAAAGTCTGTTAAAAGTTACAAAAGAAAACAATGTAGGAAATGGGCTATAGCTGCATACATATTTTGAATTACCCACAACAAACATCAAAATAGAGAGATCTCAAAATAGATGTCATGATCTCAATTTTATGGCCAGCAATCATGAATAATAATCAAAACGTTGGATAGCAACCCGTCTACTTATAGTAAATACTTCACAACTTTTGATTCTACTGGATTTCTTAATTTTGACAAATATAGCACTATTATCAATAATAAATAATAAAGTACATCTTTCGGAAAAAAAATCTTATTTTTAAATAACCCAACTTACACCGGCGTTGTTCAGTGCAGCAGTCACATAATTTTCTCTCGCTCTTCGAAGGAAATATCCTCTAAATGTAATTATATGTTCACTTCCGACAACATCAGTACTAAATTCATATTCTACACGTTCAGAACTTGTCGCATTACATAAAACGGGGTCCGTTACTTCAGCAGAAAAAACTGTCGTAATTCTGAGACATACTAAAAAGAACAGTAAATAGGTCCCCATGTTTTGTGACTGTATTATCAATTAAACCATTGCTTCTTATATTCAGTAATTACATTGATATGATTTTTAACGGTAACGAATTTCTATTAATTAAATGCATTTTGAATCATTGCAATCGTAACGTTAATAATAAAATCATCAAATGCCGTATTTTTCAATAGAACTATACAGCAAACATTACAGTAGCACAAAGTTCTTGTGTACATAAAATCTGCCAAAGTGACAGTGACAGATAAATGAAGAATTGTCAAACTATCCGATCCGTCAGAGGGTTTTTTTTTAATTTTATGACCTGGTAACATAGACCTTTAGGTCATATCTTTTTTGGAAAATGTTCATTACTTTGGATTTCCGTCATAGGGTTCCATGACCAGACCAAAGAATAAATAAAATGTACTAGGCTGTACTTCCGAAAGTATCTTACAAATAGTATAACAATGTTAATTGACAGCCTCATATTTTAACCACTGAGGATACGGCAGTTGCGTGCCTTGTTATTTCCATTTTATTAATTTCAAAGTTCCAGAAAAATAGTACGCATTATGTTGTGATATGTTTTGCTCACAGGTAACCTTTTCAACTTATAGACCCCTTTTTTTCAGAGGGGAATGCTTTATGCATAACTTATAGACCCCCTGCCAATATAAAAAAAATGCGATAAGATTCTTGTGACATCGCCCGGTGAGGGAGACGTTGCTATCATGGTTAGTTCTAATTATAATTATTATTCTGCCGTTATTCATACGGGGGCTTCACTACCATCGCTGTTAAATCTGTCAGAAAATGTATAAAACCTTCTTACCACACAAAAAATGACGTAAATGGGACGTTCATACATATGTCAACGTAATTTGTCAGAGGGTTAAAGGGATGACGGGAAATAAACATTGTATTTCCTATGCCTTCACAGTTTTCACAATTAATTAACAAAAATTAAAATTTTAGTAATATTTTACACATAATGGCTTTTGATCTTGCAGAAAGGTTTCCCAAGGTAACAAAATATTACGCACTCCTTGATCCTGGACAATACCAATGTATTTTCGATAGAAAACAAAAAGAAAGCGTAGCACCATTCCTTTCAAAATCCCCTCGTGTTTGTCAAAAAGGTAATAAGATCTGGACACATGCTGCATACAGCCCTAAGAGCGACCGGCACATTCCAAATTGTACGTCAATTCGTTCAACAGTTCCACGATTTAAATACGAAGCAATCACAAATGATGCATTGGATGAAATTATTTGTCAATGTGATAAAAATATATGTGAATGCTTACCAAAAAACGAAGAACCCGAGTTGAAAACTGAAGACCCTGACCGTCCGCGTATATTTATAGGACCTTATCCCAGGGCAATGAGTGATAGTGGGTTATCGGTACCATGTAGAAGAGATCGTGGATTTCAATTTTTTCCTGATGGTAGAAAGAAACGTGTCCTTGAAGGCTTTAAGGCTGGTCCCCCACTGTATGATGCTGTAGTACGTGAATTTACTACTTTTTACCGTGGATGCAAATGGAGCCACTGGACAGCGCGGAGATCTACCAAAACTGTACACGATGGTCCAGGTCCAGCAGATTATACCATAGAACATGGACCTACTGAAACAGAAAAGTGTGCGGAAAAGATCCGTGCAGAGAAAAGAAGAAAATCGAAACAGTACAGGTACATTGAAATGGTTCAACAAAAGAATATAAGAGAAAATCTACCTGGCCCAGCTAGTTACAGTCCAAAACCACCTAAAGGAACGGAATTGAAGTTCTTAGGTTCGAAAGCTGAGAGATTTCAAATTTCTAAATACGAAGTAATTCCTGGACCTAATGCTTATACAATTAAACGTACATTTGATTTACCAGAGCCACCAGACACTTATTGTCATGCAAAATTGCCTCCCATAGCTCCTTTTGGATTTAAAGCGCCAAGGTTTAAACGAACCACGCATCAGGCGCCTGGACCAGCTGACTATGAAACTACTCGCAAGATTTGTAACATTATGATCTGTTCAAAAGCACCTTTTGGGTCATTTACAAAACGGTTTACTGAAACAAAAATCCTCGATGAAATTGCTGAGGAAGAAAATGAAATTAAGGAAGAAGAACAACATGAAAAATGTATCAAGTCAAGTTGGATGTTCAAGTCTAACGCCAAGAGAATGACACCTCTGGAGAAGAACTTCTGTGCTCCCAGTCCCGCAGATCTACCTATGAAGATGAATGACACAAAAAGATCTTTGCCGTTGCAAAAAACAGCACCTTTTTATACATCTACCGAACGTTTTCAGCCTTGGTACAACTTCATACCAATACAAAATTTGGATGAAACTCCTGGGCCTGCACAATATAGGCTTGATAAGCCGTCGTGTACACCCGCTGTAGTGCGGGGACCCTTATATAGGTCTAAACGTTTTGATTATTCAATTTCCAATACACCCGCATGTAATAATTATAATATTGGAGGTGGAGTCGAGACAGTATTACACACAAGCAGTGTAAGGGTTAAAGATAATATTAGGAAAAGACGTGGATTCAGTTGGAAAGCATTGAAACAAAAGAGTAAATTAAGTGATAAAGAAAGAGAATCGCTGTTATTAAATAATTGCATTGCTTTGCTGAATGTTGACCTCTTTAGTGATAAAATTTCTAATACGGGTAAAAATCAGTCTACAGCTCCCGATAAAAAAGACAAATTGTTACAGTGCTTTTTGTATCGCCATCCTGTACCTAATTATTTTTAGGTTTATATGAAAATCGAAATACGACTAGAGAAAATGGTACTGAAACTGTTTTAGCTACGATTGTACCTTATTGTAGCATCTGTACTTGCCTTACACCAAATAAAGCTTGATAAATACTTTAAAAAAAGTAGTAATACATCTTACCAGGGCATGCATCTGGGCTTAATTCTTAAGTTAACAGATTTATTTCGTGTTATTGGACAGGACAACAGTTAATTTTCTTTCTTGAATTAGCAGAGGCGTTTATCTTCCTAAGTTACATTAACAAATAAAAATGTTTCGTTGTAGTCCACTGTGAAGCGTATTTATATCATCACTTTTTATGTTTTATACAAATTTCTTATAATATACAGTAACATTATAATCTGTCTTTCATTTATTAGTTAGTTGTAATACTACAGTAGTGCGGATTGTAAAATTAGTAATCACTGCAAGTTATGATAACACGTTTGGACACTTTCTTTTAAATAAACATTGTATATGTTTCCTTATATAATTTTAAACAGGATATTGTTCCATTTAACAATGGTAGGCTACAGGGTACAATGTTTTGATGAAAGTAAGTTACTTATTAGGCACGCGACACAGCGCGGCTGTTAAATGTACCGAAACGTTACAACCGGCGCCAGACAGATAATGAAGAGAAAGTTAGTAATGGCCCTTACAATATTCACACTATCTGCAGCAAAAAAAAGTCACTCAGAAGGTCACCAACATGGAGCATCATCAGGACACGAGGAACACATAGACAAGATGACTTTAGCCCAACCACCAATATCAGCGGGAACATCGCGAAGAGATTTGACTGTAAAGAATTTTGAAAGCAACATCTTAACTGAAGATCAATACTTTCAAAAGATCAATTTATTAGATGATAGAGTGGACAATCTTAACTCATTAGTGCAGAATCAAACGAATACGATAATAGAGTATCTGATGGAAATATTGAAACTGGTTCAACTGTCGCCCGTACATGTCATGGAGAATGCGATACAATCATTGAAAAACGATTTGGACAAAGTCAAATATCTACTCACACACCATCATCATTCCAGCAATCATTCACTGCGACGAGGTATTTTACATATTATTTCCTAACTTTAATGCTTTAAGTATGCATTTAACGTTTATGTATTGTCATTCCTGATTTTTATAATTTTATTATTTAGTCTCATTTGTAGATGAAGGATATTATTTGCTTTACTTTTCTGTTCATTGTGTCTGTAATTAGAAACTATCTTACCATATAATAATAAGCGAGGCATGAGAATAATAAAACAATAAGATAAAAAAGAGACAATAACGAAAGAAAATTGCTAAGTAATTATATATAATAATATAAAAAATATTGTAAGTAAGCTTAGTAATCGTGCGATCGCAGTGCCCAAATAAATAGCTTTTGCCCGCAACATCATTTGCTCAGAATTATAAAACTTGAAAAGTATCTCATGGGCTGTTCGAGACATTGTTTATATTGCCAAATTGCAATAAGATGTGTCGAAGTTATTGAAGAAATATGTGAAACAAATGTATCCCGCGGGAGCCGTACACATTTACGGGACTATAGGTCAAATCTCCTTGGGTAGACTCTGAACCCCTCACTTTGATCTTGAAATGACCTGACTATGGGCTTATATGTTCTTCTAGAATGTATTCTATATCTGTGTCGAATTACAGTGAGATAAGTTTAGCTTATTTTGGAGATACGTAATAACAACCCATCCATCAATTTGATGTCTCCAGGCTGGTTTTGGAGTCACCTTGACCGCACGCTGATCGTCATCACACAGAGCCATAATAAATCAACGTCTAGGAAGCGACCACACCAAACAATAGCCTAAAATTTCGCTTTTATAATATTAAAACGTAATAGAAACGTCATGAGCATACTGCTTTTTGCTTATTCTCTTTGCGCCTTCAACATATTATTAGATGTGATCGTTAAAAATCTGCTCCATCAAATAAAACTTGACGAAGTTCATCAATCGAGAGGTAAGCCTCTAAGTCATTGTCGTAAACGCTAGCCGAAACCCAAGCGTATGAATCTGCCATGACATTTTATTTGTTTCGGTCAGTTCCGTTTAGCAGACAACTTTTACATTTCTTTTCGCAGATGTGTCCTAAATTGTAAAAGCAAAAACAAAATCTTTAGAACTTTCTACGATAATGTAATTAAATTTTCTTTACATTTTGTGTTCAGTTGGTGGTGTCTTTGTGTAAACTGATTTTTGAAATACCTCTGCACATATTGTACGAGTCGACACGCGCGAGGAAGTCGACAATTTACATTGTAGACGTCTTTATTGTAAACAATAAGATATATTTTGAAAATACGACCAAACAAATTAAATAGTCGCTCGTGAACATTCTATTAACAATTAACGATGCGAAGTAGCGTTATTACGAATCATCTGCTGGGACAAAGCGTGATTGTTTTTATTTGATGACCGTTCTGTTTGTAAACTTTGTATGAGCGTGGAAAATGTTTGAGCGGGCCAGTCGCGCTACGGCCAAGTGAACGTTCGCACATCGATATGTTATACATTTTACTGCTTGCACTCTTGACCATTTCTCCTATATCCTCGGAAGTCGTCCCGGATCCTAATAGAGCTAAGAAACAAAAACACAGAAGTGAACACTCAGATAAAAACTCATGGAAAAAAGAATACGAAGATGAATTGAGTAGGGCAATGCTTGCATCGAGGAAACGCGACAATTATACTAGAGTTGTGCAGTCCGCTATGATGTCAGAAAACGAGGCTGTCATAGAAAAGATCATGGAGTCGATCACCACAAGTGAAAAATATCTAAAGAAAATCGACAGTATAGACTTCAGATTGAACAGGCTGGATATAGAAGTACACGAGAAAACAAATAATATATTGAAATATCTAGCAGCGCTGTCGAAATCATTACAAAGTCAATTGTTCCCAGAGAAGTTGGACACAGCAATAGATTTATTGAAGACAGATATAAGTTACGTGAGAGCAAAATTAGAAAAAGCGTCGCAAGATAGGGGAGGTATTACTCTACCACATAGTAAGCCTTCTTAATGAAGTTAATCGTGATTCTTATAATTTCCTTTGTTGCCTAATCGTGAACTGTTCTTCTTACCACTTATTGCTAACATTTTATGTTTCATAAAATAATTTAGATGAGTAATATACTGGTAAATTGATCACAACTAGTCTCTAGAAAATCTCAAATATCCTAATATAAACAAACTTTGCCCTCAAAATATTCTTATTTTCTCGCTTATGTTCAAATTAACATTTATCCTAGTTTTCAACGCAAACTTTAAAAAAGCAAAACTATCGACAGGGGAATTTAAATCTTATTGTCTCAAAAAATACCACAGTATGAAAATACTAAGACGTGGCTTCTCGTTATTAGTACGATAAGCAGGCCTAGACTTACAAAAGGCAGGTCTTATGTCGCATAGTTTTAGAAATTATGCGATCCGCAGCAAGACCATACCATCGTCCAAAAGTTACTACACTTCACTGGCCATAATGGGTCATGATAGATAAAGATTAGGGAAAGAAAAAAAAGGTCGTGGCAACGCATACTTCCTTCAAGATATGTATATCTATAAGCCAAAGCTTTGATAAAGATTTGACGACGAGAGAGCTACTTAGAGCAGTATGCATCAGTAAACGTATTACGATAAACCATCGTTGTTTAAACATGTTTTTGATAAAATATCATCCACGATATCAAACAATAACGAAATATATTTATTTGTATTTTAAAATTAAAAAACTAAATAACTTTTATAAGGTGATTGAGCCATATTATTGTTACAGTGGATACCGGCGTATACAGATTGGAATCCGGACTGGACGCGCGACTTAAGTTCGTTGAAGACCATATAAAGGGCATCATGGCAAGCGTTGAATCCATTTCAGGAGTTATTGCAGAAGTTAAACATCGACAGAACAGTAAACTTTATCACAAGTAAGTATGACGTCACAACAAAAAACACACAAAATAATTATAATTCCGTGGACCTGCGGCGGACTACGGAAAAAAGTATTTAATTTTCATAATTTATTATTTATGTATATCCTACTTTCAAATTAGTCATTTTCCTTAGTCGGCAGGAGTCAGGAGGCGGTGGATTGGACAGCTTGTCAATAATAAGTGAGTTTAGAAAAGCGCTACATGAACAAAAACCGAAGAGATGTGAATGCAAGTTAGTATATTCAAGTGTTTAAAATAATTTTGTATCGAAAACGTTCAATACATATATATTTTATTTCTTCTCAGAATCGGTCGAATGGACCGTAATGAGCGATACCCTACTGACTGCCATGAAATACAAATTCAAGGGTTCAATATATCAGGCATCTACAAGATCAAACCCGACGATATTGATCCGTTCTACGTTTTGTGTGATCTTAGCACTGCTGGTGGGGGATGGACGGTAGGAATGATATTATTGTTATTTAATAAAAGAAACTAAGGATTATGTTAATTACCTACCTATATTTTGTGTAAAATTGTGATAAAACACCATAAATATTTTTAAGTTCAGTCTTGTTTATCGGCGATATCTACGTTAAACGCCACAATCATTTACACGTCTTATATGTCTCTCTTAAAAATTAAAATAAAGGTAAAAATGATTCAAGTAACTGATCAAAACAAATCGATAGCACTTCATTTTCAGTTTATGTGATACCAATAAAAATTTTAGGTATTTCAAAATCGTTACGACGGCTCGCAAGATTTTTACAAGTCTTGGTCCGAGTATAAATACGGCTTTGGCAACTTGGCGGGTGAATTCTGGCTCGGTTTGGAGCAGCTGCACCATCTAACCAGTCAGAAGCTGTACGAGCTAAGGATCGAACTGGAGACGCAGCACGGGAGGGACGGCTTCGCGGGATACTCGGTCTTTACCATCGCACCAGAACATGAAGGCTACAGGATAAGCACGCTCGGCTCCTTTCACGGATCTGCAGGTTTGTGACTTAACTATTTAGGCTTCTAAATAAAGCATATGCCATTCTCAAATAGAAATATCATAGTCGGATGACAAATATTCGACTTAACGCATAACATAAAGATATTTGCTAACGCTACCCTAAATTAGATTGAAAAGGGAATTGAAATAAAATTACGATACCTAGTCGAACTATACCACAACAGTAATTTTCTAGTCTATCTATCTAATCTTAGAACATTTTACAAGAATTTTTTATAGAAGAGATAGATTGAAAAATAGGATATGTCAATTTGAAAAATAAACTATTTGTCGACTATTTGGGAGATGACTTCTTAATGAAGAGTGTTTGTTTAAGGTGACTCATTATCATACCACGCCGGGCAGAAGTTTTCCACTTACGACGCGGACAATGACGAATGGAAAGAGGGGTCGTGTGCCACCGAACATGGCGGCGCTTGGTGGTACAAAGAATGTGACAAAAGGTAATAATTTCGTTATACATTGGTAAAGACTGTTTTACTAAGGTTTGCTTTTAAAAAAAGCATTAGTTGACAATCACAACAACCATTTTCCCCATAAAATGTAACCTAGATAAATAAATCTTTAGAAAGAGAATAAGAAATTAATAAGGTCATTATGGGTAATTGAGTATTACCTTTGAACACATAAATCAAGATCAATCAAAGCATTTAAAAGCAAAATCACCGACATTACTCGTCAAAATTTAGCCAAAATCAATAAGGTTCTATAATTTATGAATAAATTAATAATATTTTTATTAAACCTACGACACTTCTGTTGCAGCAACCTTAACGGTAGATATACGCTGTCTGCAGAGGAGCCACAAGGACAGAATATGTATTGGATCTCGTTCAAGGCGCCGGCAGTGCCGCTCACCAAGTCACGGATGATGATCCGTCCCCTGCCAGCAAGTCGACCTCTCGACTACAACCAGTATCCCAGGGTAATCGCAGCCCTTTATAAAAAATAAAAATCTTTTTACACCAATTAAGTACATACTATTAGAAAATCAATTATTACTAACTTTTCACACTAAATAGTCGACCGTAGATTTAAAATTATTTTCTGCAAGAATCAATCTGCCTGTATTTACAGGGTTATTTAAACGAGCATTATTTTTAATTTTGTGGTCTTTTTACAATATGACTGTTTCGTTAAGATAAAGTTTCCGCTTGGTCTGTAGGAAAGCGAATTTGGTCAGCACCATCGGTTGCGGAGAATGTCCGGGACGCATTGCTTTGATGGGCAAGTATCCCACTATATTTAGTATTTCTGCAAACTTGTCCCAGTCACTTCTTAATATTTCTAGTAAATAATGCAATTAAAAATAATGCACGCTTAAATATCTCCTTCATAAAAGTATTTATTGGCTGAAATTTAAAAACACTACAAAACTTCTATAATAATATAATCATCAGTCTGTGTGAGTCCAGTGCTGGACAAAGAGCTTCCGCGATGCCTTGCACTTATGTTGACCGTATCTAGCAACTTCCTGCCGTTCTCACGTAACGATTAAATTTATTTCTACGTTAATAGTCTGCAATATAACCTAAGAATGAGGTAGCTTATGTTATTTTCAGAAAATTTTAGAGAGTTCAAAAGTAAAACCGTCAGAAGAACAGCCGAAGGGACTCCGGGCGAAGCCAACGTTCGAAGCGGCACATCTAAGGAAACCTTACCGGTACGAAGGGCACACGCGAGACGAAGTATTTTTTCCAAATTATTCGTAGATATATCAATAGACAAATGTGAACAATGCAATAGGTGTGGCAAAAGTTCAAATATAAATTGTTACAGAATTTATTCAACGTGATAACGCAATCTGTTGTGAATTCATTTAATGTACAAATTAATCAAGAGACCTTTTTGAGTGGATTCATTATGGAGAATTGATTTCTTAACTATTTTTGTAACACGAGTAAAATAATTTTTAAATTAATGTTAACAATGTAAATAATGTGTATGTACTTTTTGTTTGCATTTTACTAAATTAGAAAATTGTGAAATGATCAAGATAACTTTATATTTACTTTTATAGATATAAAAGGTTTTTTATTGTCGAATCATTAACATAAACACATTGTCATCTCTCTAAAAATCGGTATCATTGTTGTATTTCCCAACTACGAAGGCCTATTGTGACATTTCATAATAAAAAACATTACGAAATTTCATATGTTTACACCAATTCTGGTTACAGTAATTCGACCACTGGTTTACATACGTGTGGTAAATTATTTCGGCGCAGTTCTCACGAGTCAAATAACGTTGTTAGTCATCTGCGCTGTTACATTGTGTGAGGTGGAAGTCAAACAGTAACTCTATACTGTCGTAGCTTATCCTAAATATATTACCGCCTCTCTCACACTTAATAAAAAGTCAAAGTGTTATACGACGGTAGGAACTTAGGGTCAGTTCAGACAGATTGGGGCGGAGCGCGAAGCAGATTTTTTAAATTACTTTGCACATCTTTTCAAGAGTAAAAGAGCGGAAAAGTAAAATTAAACCTAATGTAAGTTGTTTAAGACTCAATTTTATTTGCTATAAAAATCTGCTCTATTCTACCCCCGATCTGTATAAGCAGTCCCTTACGGTTACGTATTCACAATGCAGAAAAATATGAATGTTGGATTGTTCATAGCAAGATATAGTGTCCAAATCATTTGTCTAATTCATATACTATCCTGTAGTTTCCCATTAATTTTATAAACTAAATTTGCTGAAATCCCAGATTTCATTAATTTTTTAGCACTGTTCTATTTGATCCAGTTGTGCCTCGTCCGCCTTCTTAACTTACAAAGGTTATCGCGGGTTTCTAAGACCGAAATCTCTTTTTAAAAAATATCTCTGTTTTGTCAAAGATGAGGCAAGTATGACGATATGTTTTACATGGGTCTCAGAAACCCACAATTAGTGACATGTTAAAAGAAAAGTTTCTTGGTGTTTTAATGTTCTGATAGTTAATTACATAAGTTAATTAGCTTTAAGCTTCATCATACGAGTTTTTTTTTTAATATAATGTAAATTTTGAATAAATTGTTTTATGTTACTGTTTAATTTGGTTTTACAACTGCGGTGTTCAGGATGGAATTATATAGGAAAGAAATAAAAGAAGTCACATCAGTCTCATGCACTTTATTAAATAATTTTGTTGGTTATTAAGTGTTTCAATTATCTGAGCAACATTTATACGGACTTGAAAAAGATCATCATCGTTCGAAACGACCGGCTCGCTCTGCGATATTTTATTAATACATAATGGTAGTTGCATGATATTAATTTGCAATCTCACTAATGCAGCGCACGAACAAACATCTAATATTCCATTAAATATACGAAATTGTTTTTACAAAAGCTTCGCGACAACAATAGTGAGATTACATTTGACTGCGCCTGGGACTGAATAATACATAGACACTCAGAATATTATTGAAAAGTACAATAAACATAATTGCCGACATCTTCAGTTTAACTAAAGATTAATTTATATACGCTTACATCGAACACTACACATTCATTAATCTGACATTAAGTTTATGGAATAAATCGATGCACTAAATATTCTGTTACATTGGCTCATTGGCTCAAGTAACACGTAAGTCAATAATCAAATCCGCTAGTACGGAGAACATTCACAATGATTAACAAATTACTAGCCTTAAATATATAATTTTACGTTTAAAAGTACATCCAAAATATGTAATTATCAGAGAAGTTTTATTTAGAAAAACTACTGACATGTTTTGGTATTTCCATAAAATTAAAACAAATACAGATATCAAGATTTTACGTACAAATATTTACTTCGCAAATAAAATATAACTATGCAAATTACTATACTATGTTATAAAAAAAAATAAATGTTGCAAAATAATATGCTACATAAACACAAGAACTAAGTAGCACCATAGATAAATTGATTAACACCGAACTCAGAGTTAAATAAACACTTTAGTGTTGATTTCTACATTAAGTATCTGCCTTAAACTTGAACTCTGGATACGGCGGTACTAAAATCAAATATATGAAAAATAAAAAATAAACACAAAGCGTTTACTTTGGCGAAACTATGAATAAAATTTGTAAACAGCGATTGCACATTTGGTTATTTATAACCAACAGCGGCCTCCTTTAACAATCATATATATTAAACAAAGTACACACTTATCGCTGTAAACAAAAAAGATACACCAATCAACTACAACTTTATCCCAACACGTAATAAGCTTATTAATAATATGAATATAATAATTATAACATTACTAATACTTAAGACAACTATGTGTCTGTTCCAGAAATTTACAAAAAAAAGGTAATAACGTCTCAAACATGATACATATTAAATATATATATATGTGTATACAAACATACATATACTACTACTTTCATACACACATACATATCAGACATTCTAATGTCTCCATTTATACGCTAGTAATAAATTTTTTTTGGAACCATAGCCTTAACATAAAAAATTCAGAACTAGAGAGAGGTTACTTAGACATGTCTATTACTCTTCTATTATTTTATGTTATACACTTACAGATACATTTATGAATTAAACTCAAAACTAGGGATGATGGTGCAAAGTATTGTTAAATATTAAATAGATTAATTATTAATTAAATTAAATCTAATTCTACTTTAATGTTATATATTGTAATGAATAGTTTCTATTTACTGTTGAGTGACTCGGGTATGGAACCCTCAGCTCTCGGGCTTCAAACAGCCGTTAGTAATGATTTATTGTAAGTCTATGTTTGAATGGTGGGGTCTTGGGCATTTCAGCTCCGTTAACTACAAACTAACATATGAAAAGATACAAGTTTCCTAATGCTATTTCATCATTATGCGGGTTGTTGTGTTAGGGGGAAGGGAAACACTATTATTTACATATATACTGCATATTGATGCAGTGTGTTAAATCTAATTATAAAATAATATTCAACTTAAATAAAAAGCACCAAATGAATGGTGCTAAAACTTAATATGGAATAGGCGGACCACTCGACATGTGTCCTAAATGACGATAGCAAGGTATTAACAGACACCACATAATGGCTACAACTTAGGGAATTTTGTGAGGGCACGCGGGGATACCTAGTGCCTTTGATAAAAAAAAATTTAATTTAAATTTTGATAAGAAAATTTGTTTTTTTTTTCTAATGGTCAATATTATTTAAATGTATAACAAAAAGTTTTAAACTTACATCTTTCCAGAACTAACGTGCTAACTAATTTTAATGAAATGAAATCAACCTTATATTGGAACATATATAGTCTTTTTTCCGTTCGCTTTTGCTTCTTTGAACTTTACAACAGAAGTTATGGAGTCGCGTTATACACTAAAATAATTCTAGTGTTTAACAAGATAGATTTTTAGAGCTGATTTTGAATGACAAAAAAAATATTCTTAAGTTTTAGTTGTAGCCATCAGTTAAATGTTGCTGTAATACCTTAAAATATAAAAACTAAACACACAAAATATAAACAATCATATTTTAAAACTTAAGTTCATCAACAAAATAACAAAAAAAGGGATAATATTTAAGAAGCCATTCGCATTTCTAAATATAGTCGGAAACAGGAATGGCTTAATATTTACAACAAATTCATTATAAAAAAAATACTTGCACCAATCTTAAATGTACAATTAATGAAATAATACAAAATATAAGTACGATAGTTAAATTAATATAAAGATAAAAATGACTAACAATACATAAGAGAAAAGTGGAATACATATTCCAAATAAATGTGTCGAGTAAACAATATTTTTGGTAGACACTATACATAGACTACTACATCTTAACTATATAATAAATGTTAATATTTCAAAACACATGTAATCAAATTATTTCACTGATGCACTGCACCATACACAAAACACATTCACTACAAATAACAAAAATTACACATTTACGTTATGAAGTCACTGCGCTTCTTTAATAAATATCATAACTGTATTATTAAAGAAATTTAATCTCGCTTTAATCAAAGTCCATGAGATTAATTTTGAAAATTAATTCTGAAAAGAAAAAAAATATGTATTTAGTACCAAACATAATAAAAACAAATATTAATTATTACATTCTAAAAATACTGTTACAGTTAAATCATATTTTTAAACTGTACTAAGCTGCAAAGTTTTCGGAAATTAATATGGGGGAGAGATTCTAATTAACTAGCTGTCGCCCACGACTCCGTTCGCGCGGAATTAAAAAAAAACGTAATAAGTAGCCTATGTGTTCTTCCAGACTATGTTCTACATCTATGCCAAATTTCCACGAGAACCATTTAGCCGTTCCTAAGATACCTTCAAACAAACATCCATCCATCCATTCATTTAAACATTCGCATCTATAAGTAAGATAATAATTTGTTAACAAACTCACCTCATTCGGGCTCATTAGAGTTTTGTTCATTCTCCGGGCGCAGAGCATCAATGCAGGCAACAATCTTCAGTGCGGGCCCCAGCTTGATGGACAGCGCCATAACAAGGTGCTCAGCCTTGATGAGCAGCAATGCCTCACCATCAACTTCCTGAGCCAGGAATTCATTAGCGTAGCCCGCACAGCCAGGTATTTTCCTGATAAACTCGTACACTTCAGCAACCTGCGATAAATTAAACACAATACATTAATGTAAATTCAAGAACATCATATCACTTATTTCCTATAAAAATAAATATACTAAACTTTACTCAGCGTATACATTAAATGTCTCTGAGTGCAAAATTATTTGCATTACGATACTAAATGTTAAGTCAGCCGCTTTATAAAAATATGTTGATCTATCAGATATCGGACATTTATATCGTAGTCTGAGATATTTTGTTTCAATAAGTGGCATGGAATTTTATGGTTATAACTACATCATACATAGTATTACTAGCTGTCGCCCGCGAATCCGTCCGCGCCGAATTGATAAAACTTTATTAGGCGCCAATGTTCTTCCAGATTATGTTCTATATCTATGTCGAATTTCAGCAAAATCCATAAAACCGTTCTAGATATACCTCCTAACATCTATCCATACATCCAAACATTTACATTTATAATAAATAAGAAGGGAGATAATAAGTACTTTTAGACATTATTAGTTAGAATCCTTTGGCGCGAATGGCGCGCTTTCATTACAACGTGAAGTATCAGAAAGATTAGTGAGGGGACATAAACGTCGACATTTTAGTAGGGCTAGTGTTGCGCCAGTACACCGGCACACTGTCGGATTTTCTTCCTAACCTAATAGTTAAGTTTTTTTTTATTATTTATTTAAGTTTTTATACAAGGTCTTACCGTCCATTTGTTGGCATTGACAACCCTGGCAGGTGGTGCAGCCTCTGCGGGTTCGGCAGCAGGTGGTTCAGCAGCTGCTTTTGAAGTGCCGGGTATCGGTTCAGGCACCTCAGTAGCTGCAGCAGCTGCTGCTGTACCATTGTTGGATACTGCAGTCTCAATCTTCTGCTTCTTGCCTAAAAGAAAAAAAAATAGTTGAATAAAACTTAATAGTCTCATTATGATTTGATGCAATTTTCAAGTTAAATGTATGGTTTTGTCCGTTTTAATTTGATGGGTTGAGTAAAATAAGTCAATTGTTAATAAATAATAGAAATTGGGAGTCAAATTTTTTGTGATTGTTGTTTTTGAATTACACTACTTATATAATTGTTTCTTCTTATTCCTCTTTCATTCTTCAAAATTAAATAATGCATTCAAAAGAAAAATAAGATATGTATGTAGCAGAACACAAAACGCTATGAAAGTATCTAAATTACATCATTTATCTCTTTGATTAATTTAATTAAAGAACCAATGTTCGTTAGTATATATTCATGGTTGTTCATCATGTCAGTTTGTCAAACTTATCAATTTAAAACGAACAAAGTATAGACTTTATTTTGAAATAAAAAAATTAAAAGGTATTTTGTCTGGATCGCAAAAGTAAATAACACATAGAATTGGCTATTTTTTCAATATATAATATATGGTAATAGCTAAATGCAATTAAAATGATAAAGTAAAAAAATAAAAATGATGAAAAAAGTAGTAGTGCATCGTAACATGTGTGTGTGTATGTGTGTTTGTGTGTCATTAATAAATAACAGGGCTAGTACTTCCTAATCTTGAGCCTTTATTCCAATGGGTTTATATTTGGAGGGCATTTTATCCAATAGTACAAATATCTATATAATATTAATCCCTACCATACGATATTGTACGACAAACATAATAAAAAGTTGATACATTTTAATCTAGCAGACCAACTTTTCTTGTCTTCAACAAACGAGAAAAACATCAGTTTGAACTTATAATTAACATTGAAAAAGCTATAGAAATATATCGACTTTATACTCACTTTGATCACGATCATTAGGCAACGATCTTTTAGTACCACGATTTTTGTCTTGTTCCCTGTCACCTGTAGCCGTCCATTCACGGAAAGGCCGGTTCACCTACAAATTCAACATATGTTAGTTAGGAAATGCTAACGATAATATAATTTGTGTTAAAACTTACGCAGTAACTCCTCGTTGTGTCACTCAAATCAAAAAAAGTTTGCGCAAGTCTGGTCGTCTTATTTTTATTCCCGTAGACATACGGGTATTCATAGTAAATTAGACAACCACCTCAAGTAGCTTACAACTACTTGTGGTACAAATCAACTTTACGTTTTAATAACGTAAAATTATTTCACTCGCTCACTTTATTTGAAACAATAACTTACTGCAAACGGTTCTCCCGCTTCCTGAATTACGTAGCCTTCGATGACATGCGTCAGAATATTAGGCTTTACCATAGCCTTTGGCAATCCCTTATCTAAAAACACAAATTCAATTTTAATACTTATCGATTCCACTAAGCATTCACTGAAAAAGACTACCATAAATAATTAAGTTTGTTAATTAAGATTTAAAGTTGTATGACGATTTGAAGAAAGCGTAAGTCGTTGCGATATTTAAGTAGATAATATGAAGACAAGAAAAGTAGGATAGGAGTTATTAATTTTCGAACAAGCAAAACTACAAATTCTAATTTTTATATTATAAATAAATAAGACTTGTATTGTAAAACAAATTTTTATCACAATCTTTACCGATACAATTGATTTTAGCTTATAACCTTTTCGAATATCGCTTAAAAGAAAAGAGAAGTCAACACAATGTTTCAAACGTTTTTTACTTCCTTCGTATTGGCATTATGTGGATGATGACGTCGCAACTGCCTGATTTCAAGCTTTGAAAGCGTTGATTTTGTTCAGAACCAATAGACGTGTAAAAAACACCACTTCTTTGCAGAATAAATATCACACCGCGTTATATTGCACACGGCACAAAGGCACATGAATAATATATTTGTTTGAAAAAATCGAGACCGATGTAGGAATCGGGAAGTTTTAAATTTCAAATCTGAGTTCAGGGCTATACCGCCAATAATTTAAGAGCTGGTGGCGTGATATCACTTGTTTTGTATAAATAATGTCGCTCGAGAAAAAAATAGGTAGCACGCAATTCCTCTCGCTCCTCGCCGTTTAAACAAAAATTATTTGCTAACATTTTGATTATGTTTAAAAAACGATTGAAATAATTATAAAACATTCCCTCAATTACCAGTTTAAGAAAACACTTATCAGAGACGATGTTAGTGTGGACATGAGAGGTATTAGATAATTAAAGTTTTATAAAAATGTATTGTGTCAAAAGATCGTCCATTAATGTCGTCCACAAGCATGGGATAACATGAGACATCACGTTTATTCATTTTCTCACTTATTACGAATAATTAATTACTAAAAACAATTAATCAGATTAATATCATTATAACTGTATTTTAAATACGGTACCAAATACACGTGATTTTGGGTATTCCCATACTACGTCAAAAAAAAACATACTTTTCATACATTAATGGACGACCGTATAGGTGTTATAAAAATTAAAATAAAGTTACATGATGATTATAAGTAAAAGTAAAAAAGCGATTATTATAAAAGAATACATATGTTATCATGTGTAAAAAAAATAAACAAAGCGATACAGTATGTGATGTAACGTTTGATCATAGTTAGTTTAATATCTATCAATATGCTGTTAAAGTGAAATTCTAGAATTATATTAGGGGTTAATGTTGTTAGAAAATATATTAAACCTACTTAGTCATTGAAAATCACAAGTCAGAAAAGACGAAAACAATTCCATGTTATTTTTAGACGGTGACAGGGTACGCGGAAGGGGGGAGCGATCACGTTGTTGACAACGTGTAAACGTATATATTAGCACTTACCATGACCAGCCGGCGATGCAATGTGACGGTTGCATTGGGGACTCTTGAATAATGCATTTGAGCTCTGTTGCACCGCAGTGTGCACGGGCGATGATGTTGCAAATGCAGGGGCTGCGGAGCTTACCTTCAAATAACACAAACAATATCATTGTATATAATTAAAACACTAAAGTTTAAGAGACAAATATAAACAATGTTGTAACTAGAGAAAAAGTGACAATCTTTACCGGTGGTGTCCCTGGAAGGTTCTGTACTTGAGAAGTGCTCGGCATGCTGGCATTAGACACAGCCGGGGTAGCATTTGATGTCATAGATTCACTAGTTGATTGCAAACTAGACACAAATTCTGAATACAGACTTGCACCTAAGAAAAAACAAATTTTATAAATTACATTTTAAATTTCATTCAGATGTACAAAGCAATCTCAAGTTAATAAAAATTTAGGTATAGTACCGGATGAGAAGGAGCCACTTAGTGCACCAGAGTCATTTGTTGCTTCTAAAAGCGGCATGGAAGGTCCGGCACCTTCTGTGCTGGTGACGTATTCAGTGTTTACGGTCATGGTCGGTGGCGGCACATCCTCTCCGGTGTCATCCCCAGTCCCGGACTAGGAAAATTATAAAAAATTAACAAAGATTTTCAATTATCAACATTTTATAGTACATAAGAGATCGCAAGTAATATTCAATTGCAGTTGCGCATGCACTTTTTTTGAAATGAGACAAAATACCATTTTATAGTCTTTCTTGGCATGTGTACATTGTTTTATTACATATATTATAATGATTTTTTGAAACTTTTTATTAACATAGGTCTGATTAAGAGAATCTAATCAATACATTTAGGTGGAGCTATGCAAACTGCAAATTATAGAAACTACTTTTTACAGATTTTCTCATCACATACTAGAATATTTAAAATTATATTTAAAGTTATTAAAGTATTAAACAAAATATGTATTTTGAATTTGAGCAAAAAAGTGGCAAGTTTTATTTGTTGCGTTTGATATAAAGAAAACCTGTAAACATCTAACTAACTAAGAGTAATTTTAATGCTAAACATCAATATGGCATACTAAACAAATAAGCATTTCCAAAAACTAAGACATTAAAAAGAAAGGCAAAAAAATGTACTTTCGGAACTTGGGTAATGTTGTATACTATGGAAATTGAAGTAATAAATTTATTGTAAATCGGGATATGTTTTAAATTTCTTTGAAGAATATGAGCAATCTCTTTATTTAAATTTTAATTGTCATATAAGACATAATGTAAAATTTAGAATTATCAAAGAAGACCAAATGAGGAAGCAAAAGAAATTAATATTTAGTTTAAAATTTAAAATTATAGTTGTGATTAAACTTCAAGGTAATCAATTTTATGAAGTAAATTTTACTAAAATAGATGACAATACAATCTTCCATTATAATAAAAGAACAAAAGTAAACAAAGCAATCATTTAGAGTTTACAAAAGCAAATAAATCTAAATAATTTTGGTAACATGGAGTTTAACCAGCTTTTTTAAACTTAGATAACAATAATTTTTTGATATAAATCATTGCATCACAAACAACAACATAAAAACATGTCATCAACTCTTACTTTTGAAGTCAACGAGCTGATTGGCACGAAGTTGAGGCAAGCATACACTTTCCTCTGTGTATGGAAAGAATTTTAATGTACAAAATATATTTATGGATACAGTAATTTCTGCAAATGAATTGCAACATAAAATCATTATCATGAATGCTTATTCAATAAAGTGTCCGTTTTAAAGGAGAGAAAAGCACCAGCGATGGTAACACCATCAAGCCTAACTTTTCTTTAATACTATAGAAAGGCTCCACGCAATATCTTTTGACTGTTGTACTACAACAGTCAAAAGACTTTAAAATGATAATATAATCAATCACATGCTCTAATTGAGAAAATATCGATGATAAGTAGAGTATTTTTGTGAATACCTTATTTAACATACGATATTTTTTTTACTATGCTATATCATTTTAGAAAATAAGTTTTTTTTTTAATTAGATTTATATGCAATTAAACTATTAAAAGAATTATCGCCAGCGAATTTATCCGCGCGGAATTATAAAAAAAAAAATTATTAGTAGCTTGTGTTCTTCTAGTCTTTGGTCTATATTTATAGCAAATTTCCATCCATCCATTCATATAAACATTCGCATTTATATTATTCGTTAGTTTGATTAAAATTCTACGTACATAGTGCTGGTAGGAAATATTTATAACTTTGTAGACAGTTTCTTTAATCGCCATCTTTCACTGCAAGCTGGATCGATAACACGTATATAAAAATTCTAACGATAATTAAACACAATTATCAAAAAGCACCACCAAAACTTAACAGGCGACTACGACGTCTAACCGATGGAGCGCGAACTTAAAAACGTGAGACCAAAGCCAACGGTCAGCAGTGTTGCCAACAACTCCGAATATGATTTCGCCATTTTTCACAGCTTTAGTAGTCTAATGTAGGCAAATTTGGGACGCGGTAGCATAAAGCTCGAACGCTATTATTACTCTGAATATCTAGAAAGCATAGTTTTAATAACATTTTTAATAATTTTTAAATCTTTTCATTTCATTAACGAAATCATCGAAATTAAATAACCTAACAAAAAAAACAACTGAATGGGGCTCTATTGTACGATATGATAGCCTTATTGGCCACAAATCACCTATGTTGGCAACATAGAAGATTAGGGTGACCAAGTTCGCAATTTTGGGTGACCATTGTTAAAAATTAAGTTACTAGGGAAATACTCAAATATAAATAAATATAATTTGTATTAAAAATAATCATTTATTACGCATACAAAAGACTAAGTCATCCACATACATTTCTGGACCCAGACGTATAATATTAAATTTCAATTATTTAGAAGTTATTTCGACTGTCATAAGAATAGCAATGAATGCCTGGTTTAACTAGAAACAATAGAAAGATACGCTGCGATTACTTAATTCTATCGTGATAATTAGATATCGGAAAAATAAGTAAGAGGGAGGGCAAACCTGGGCGAGCTGTTGAGTTTTATCTTCTTCATTCTTGACGTGTGTCAGTTGCGGAGTCTGGGACTGCACGGGCGCCACTGAACCTTGCACCGGCGTAGAAGCCAGGCCCATGCCGCTTTGAGTTTGTAGATTCATTTGAGGCGACGACAGGCTGCTTGCCGATACCTTTTTATACAACATAAATGAGTTTTGTTTAATTGCATCATCAAGTGTATCGCTATTAACCTTATATTAACTAAATAACTATGTCAAGTAATTATAAGCATGCATTTTATACAATTCGTACATTGGAAATTAGGAAAGGGTGTAACTAAAACATAAATTAAAAAAATAAAATGACATGCATATGGCGATTTTACAAGGCGCCTAACTTAAAGCTCTTACAACTACTGAAATGTAAGACTTGGAACTTAAACAGAAACTTATTAGATTTCAATAGGACTTAAAAAAAATCTGAAATACATTGTGAATATATTTTTTCTAGTACGTGCTTTTCTTATTTTGAAATACAAACTTTTATCGCCTGCATAGACATTAAAAGTATATAACAGTCGAAACAGTGAATTTAGTCTGATATTTATGGTGTCGGTTAAACCTATCCTAAATTAAAGTGAATGTAGTAAATTCTTGCATAGTTTTATTGTTGCAGTTGGGAACTCACCGTTTGCATGGGAGTAGTGTGGGCTATACTTCCCTGAGGCTGTACTGTCATCCCCACTGAAGTTTGAACTAAGCTTCCCCCTACCAGCGTCTACATAAGTTTAAGAAAACAATAACCTCACTACTTCATCACAATTGGTAAGTCTTCATAATTGTTTAAAGTATATTGAACTTGTAAAATACATTAAAAATAAACTTTTACACAAATCTTCCCTGATTTGCAAAAATTGAAAAATAACATCTTTTATTATTCAACTGAGTGTGAGTCAGTTCGGGCAAGAAAGACCGAACAATATAGACTACAATACTCTGTTTCTATTGAATTATAACTCTTTTTAGTGTCAATTACAATTTAATAGTCATGAAATTTATTCTTAAAAGTAAAACAGACATTCTAATTTTAAAAATTAGGCAAGTCATCATTTATAGAAATCAAATATTTTGTAGTTCGAGACTTTTAAACAAGTTGTTGTCTAGAACATAATTGTAGGTGTGACATTATAAATGGATGCAGGAGGAGGGGCTCTCTGCATAGGGTATTGACGTTGAGATCACTTGCACATAATACTTGGAGTCATCAAAGTGTCATTTTATTGATTAGTGTCAAAATCAGTGTTATAAAAATTGGCTTTTACCTGTGGTTGCTGTAATGTTTGGACTTGAGCAATTGGAGTGTTCTGGCTATTTTGATTTGTATTAAGCTGGTTCACAATGTTTCCCGATTGGTTTATTCCACCAAGCTATATAATGAAAGCGTTTTATGATAGACAATAACAACAAAATTGGTAAAAATGAAAGGTAACATTCATACTCTACTCTAATAAGCTACATATTTGAAAAAACTGATGGGATTGCATATACAAACAAAATCTTATATAAATAATCATACAAAGATACTAATTCAGCTAAATTAGGCATTTCAAAGAAATGAGAGCATGGTTTATCTACTGAGGGTTTCTATTGCTGTAGCATTCATGAAAATCAATATGATTATTTCAGTATATTGCACACGATAAAGGATATCACCTTGCATATATTTTTATATGAATGTTACATCAGTAGAAACCCATGGCTACAGCAAATGTTGCAACTCAACTAACCGGATGTATTTGTGGCACCATGGATAACTGTGGTAATCCAGTCATGGGTATTGTCTGGGCAACTGAACCCACGGGTAGTGTGCCTTGTGACATATTCAGTGTCATAGCTGTAAAGGAGAATAATAAGTCAGTTTGTATCTCACCAAATACTTTCGTTTGCTTGTGTGACATGTGACATTGGCGTTTTGTATCGGAGTGACATGGTGTTTTTTTTAAATAACATTATTATCTATGCATTTTTGCCATCTTATAGGTAGTTCATTGAAGCACGAATTAATAAACTATCTGGATACTGTCTGGACTGCCACATGGGATGTTTTTTTTTACTTTTAAGAATGTATCTGTAGCAGGAAGGCTTGGGGAGTAATTGGAATGTAACAGACAGATTGCAGCTACCCTATTTAAGTGACCGTGTACTGTGGCATGTCTTAAAGCAGCAGCTGCCAACAGCATATATCATTTGAAGATTTTAGAAAAGTTTAATGAACTTGTGGTCTAAAGATCAAAGTAACTTCTTCAGAGTAACTCACATATTATCAGCTCACTATACCTCCACTAAGGGGCTTGGAGCCTACCCTAAGTTAGGGGTGACTAGGTCATAGTCAACCACGCTGATCCAGTGTTGGTTGATTCAAATGTACCATCTAATTTTTTTTTTTTTGGGGTTCTTAATAAAAGTGCAAATAATTTAGAATAAAGTGCCAGGTGAGACGAAACGCCAATTTCATATGTAATGTTAGGTACCTAATATTAGGTTAGGTTTAGGTTTTGTTCTAGATAGTGTACCTTGTTGATAATGTTGGACCATCTGCTGAGTCTGCTGTTGTTGTTGCAGCAGCTGTTGTTGCTGTTGCTGCTGCTGCTGCTGCTGTTGCTGTAGACGTTGAGTTTTTCGAAAGAGACATTAATATATATACTTTAAGAGTTTTATTTTTCACTAAATATCCTGAACAGATTGTCAATAAAAAACCATGTTCACTTGATTTGAACAGTTAGTGATATGAATATGCTTTTTTATGTCTGTTACGGGATATATGTTTCAATTAGAATCGGACGAATGAGCATTCATGAAGGATAATTTAGGCTTTATTTTATACTGAACGAATAGTATCATATAAACGAATGGGAATTCGTCCGATTTTCATTGAAACGTGTACAGTTCGTTGCAAAAGTTTTATTGAATCTTATTTATGTATTTGTATATCATTTCGATTCAACGCCACATTTTAGTAAGGAGTGGAACATTAAACTCCATACATGGCGGTCATTACTTTTGCAGTGTTTTTAATTTTATGATAAACTGAAGTGATTATGTAAAATAAGGATAGTTATTGTTGTATAGTTATGTGAATAAAGTGTTTTATCAGATTTTGTTCAGAATTTTTTAGCGTTATGTAATTTTGTCTATGGTTAAGGGTTTGGATTGAAATAAGGTATATACCCAATAACCAAAAATTTAATTATAACAGGTCGAAATAATATAAACAGTTCGTATATTTCTTTCCAATTAAATAAATTATAAATTTTTTAATTTCATTTATGAATATTTTTTTTTCAACATAACTATACATATATTAAATACTGACGTCGGTTAGTGACAAAAATATCCCACTGGACCGATTAAACGGTGTTCCGACCAATCGGTCCAATGGTATATTTTCTTCCATCGCAACCACCCATATGCTTATTTAACATTATTATGGTGACCTGCATGGCTTGTTGCATAATGGCTTGTTGCTGCAGATTTTTTGTGATAGGTTGCTTGTCTTGTAAGTTGGTAACTTGCGTCATCTGGCCGTTCGAGTTCATCACCAACAGACTGGAAGCATAAGATTTGTTACATTAAATTATTATCCTACTACAATTGTCAATAGTAAAATTAACGTAGTAACTGAAGAATGGAACTCCAACATGGGTATCAAAAAAAAGGGCTTGACTAGTAGAGTACAATGCTTTATGAAAACTCCAAGATGGCCACCATAACAAAATGGCGAATGTAATGTTCTTGTACAACTACTGCAGTATAACTATTAAATGTTAGAGAAAAAGTGATTTTTGGTATACTAACGATTGCTTCTGTTGGTGCATTTGCTGTTGCATCTTATTGGCGGTCTGGTTGGCTGCATCCTGTTTGGAGGAAGGTGCCGGCGATCGGACTCCATGTTTGCCTCGGTGCTTGCCCTAAAGTCACATAGTTTTTTTTTAACATATTAGCATATAGATTATTTAAGTGCATTTATTATAATATTCTATATTCTCGCATACCTGACTTTGGGACTGGTTGGTACCAGTCTGAGTGGAAACCGAAGAGGCAGGTCTTATGCCTCCTGAAGGTAGTATGTTGGACAGAGGTCGAGGTGTCTTTGTCATCCCATCGGACGAAGCTCTGGGCTTCGCTGCAGTGGCGGTGGTGGCCACGGTCGCATCTACGTAAAATTAACAATGACTTTACAATCAAGTACAATGTCTACACCGAAGCAGTGCACAAATTTCGCAATGTGTACATAAATTTCGCAATTTCACACTAAAAATTCGCATTTAGACGCGCCAGATCAAATAATTATTTAAGGAAACGTATATAGTAAATAATTAATTACATTGATTATAATAATAATAAAAAATGTGTAGGAAGGGCCTATAATAAATATACATACAATATAAAAGGTACTAACTGTTGTTGTGTTGAACATTATTCTGTGGAGAATGCTGTATGAACATGGAGGGAGGCGCATCTGGTTGGGTGCCCCTTATGAATATCGGATTGGGTGCGAGGAGTCCCCCGGCGGGCAAAGTCCCGGCCTGCAATCCCCCGGTCCAAACTTGGGGGAGAGCGCCCGAGATCTGCCACGGAGCGAACTGCATCGTCTGCCCTCCAGTCTGGGGAATCACCGAACACTAAAGTTAAATCATAAGAAGCCAAACTCTCCCGTGTGGGTTAACGCCGAATTATAAAAAAAATCGTCTAGTTCGTTATATGTCTATAAAGCTCTAGTAACATACACATTGTACAGAAATTAAGTATATTTTTGATATTAGCAACACGCACCAACTTCTCAATTATAAATCAATATATCACATAGTGACCAATCTAGAAGTTTCGTAGTTCACCCCGGAAGCACATCATGACGATGTGCGTAACCATCTTTGTGAGCATAACCATCTATGAAAAATTTACTGGTATTAGTTTTTCAAACAAGCTACCATTTATGAGAAATAATATTAATATAAACGCTGGCTTTCAGATATTTTAACATGATTCTTATTTTCGAAGTCTAATCAATTAATTTAGCTTTAAGTCATCATCAGCTCACTATGCGTCGCAACCGAGGGGCCCAGAGCCTACCCTAAGTCAGGGGTGATTAGGCCATAGTCAACCACGCTGGCCAAGTGCGGGTTGGTTGACTTCACACATATCTTTGAATTTATTCGCAGATATGTGCAGGTTGCATCACGATGTTTTACTTCACCGTATTTAGCTTTAAGTAGTAGACTAAAAGTTATTTTCAAAGAACAGAAAGTGTAGTTACTAAAGTAAACCCAGTCATAATAATTTGACAAATTCGTGTTTATCATATACAAAGGTTCATTCGTTCCACGGGCCCCTAAATTATAATATATACAAGAGAGGAAATGAAGGGTGATGATCACGTTACTCCACCTACCTAACCAATGTTCACCTAACTCTTTAAAAATAAGCGCAGCATATTTTAAACCAGCTTTTTTGAAACACACAATAAAATAATTAACAATCGCTTTTTCAGATCAAGGAAGGCTACATAAAAATAAAAAAATCTCGCAAAAGCAGTTCGTACTAATCACAGCTTCGTACTAATCGTTAAAATTAAAGTAAAGAAAGATTCAATAACGCCAAGCAATTTTATTATTATTGAAGTAACGTAAGGTAACGCTTCATTTTTTACAAGTAACTTGCACAATATTCAAATTTAATATCGCTGAAACATAGTATAAAGAAAACAATTTGAATGGAAAGTTACCAATGTTAAAGGAAAATAATTGTTGCGCAATAAACATGAAAATTTTCCATCTCATTACGTCCTTGTTAAAGATGTTCAAAGTGAGCAACGCTATTTTAAGAAGACGTCTACAACAGAAATCAATAGGTAGCGCTCGCGTCCATGTATAAATTACACCCCCGCTCAAAATCAATGTAATCTCTGCCTTCATATTATATTCGCACGAAGAAATTATGCAAAGAAATACACAGTCGAAGACGTTAATTTCCTACCCATTTGAACAATATAGTACAAAAAATTAGCTTCTCATTTAGAATCAAATTTTATACAACAAACAATCATCATAAGCTATTTTAACATGTAAGTTTAGCATGTATGTATGTTGCTATAAAAATTTTCGACCCGAATAAAGTTTTATAATAGCTAGCAAATTAACGTCCGCGATTGTAAACATAGAACGTATTAAAATTAGGAGTGTTACCTGTAACGGGCTGATAATTTGAGCCTGTGTTGGTTGCTGAGTTCCGAGCACTGGTTGCGAGACTTGGACACACTGAGCGTGAACGGGCACAGTTTGACCACTGCCGGTTGCAGTTCCCACCTTAGCGCCGGCCACCTTGCCACCGCTCATCTGTACACAAATAATATTGTTAAAAAAATCTTAACCTTTTAAGTGCCGCTGCCGCCTTATAATGTATGATGTGTAACGTAGTACGAATTCAAAATTTCCTAGATTTTTTATGATTACAATGTGCTGTACCTATTGTAAAATTCTGAAAGAACCATCGATTCATCCACAGCAGTCCACTAATTTCTCACTCCCATACAATGACATTGTAAAATTGAAAACGGTCTTGAAGTAAATTTTAAAAAATCTAGCCCACTTTAAAATATAAGTAACGGCATATTAAGAATATATAAATATTACCTTATGCATATCAGTGGTTTTCTGTTGCTGTCCAATGCCGGAGACGGTCGGCTGTGAATGTGTTGGAATGATGCTAGCCTGCGAGTTGATGACACCGAGCGGACTGAAGACGAACGTCTGATTCTGCGTAGTAGGAATAGTGGCGTATCCCGGGAACGGCGCTGTTTAAATACCCTCGCCTTTAGCAAGCCGTTGACTAAATGAACCCGCTCCGTACAAATTTGAAACCCCCTCTTGTTTTCCTCTCAATTAGCAACAAGAAACATTGTTTTTACAAAGGTAATGTACAAGAGGCAAAAAAAGCCAACGACAAAATTTTTTAAACATTAAACTAGCGCTTGACCGCATCGCATTTGATGTTAATATGATTTTTTTTCTTGAATTTGGCAGGGTCTTATTTTGTAAGAAGCAGGTTGCTTGTATAAAACATTAAACAGTTATCCTACCACAAAAGTACATGCTTAATGGCTACCATACAAAAGCTACCCATACGAAAATGCGGATAGGAAAGACAAGATGTTATATTAGTTTAAACTGTAATTGTTCATAAGATCACATTACTCGCAAGATACTTTTCTCAAAACAATAGAGACATAAAATACTCCGATCGGGCGAGTGTTCAAATATTAAATAAATGCGTGTAAGCCGAAATAATAAGCATTAGCGACGTAAACAATGGCAGACAAATAAAGCGCTTATCAGCCCTTAAGCCTGCAATACCGCTTCGATAAAAAATCCCCTCTTAACTCCCGCTTTCACTGTTGCCCTCAAGGATTTAATGTGAAAAGATACTTATTGTAGATTTAATATGAGAAATCTACACTAAGGGTCACCCTGAGTGAACAATGTAAGAACGACAAGTCACATTGAGAGGTCATTTCGGCAGAAAGAAGAAGCATTAAAAGAAATCCGATAATAAGTGCCAATTAAAAAAATTAAACGAAAAAATAAAAGAAATTTACCCCTACTAAATAAAAACAACAATAGGCACATTCACAAACATTCACATATTCAACCAATCACGAGACTTGAAACAATTATAACGAATTCATTCAAAGTTTGTTTTATTTGAACCTGGATCCTGATAAGCAGTTAGACCTGTAAAATTCACTACAAAACTGAATAGTGCAGAAGTTCTTACTCTTATTATAAGCAAAGTTATACACAATATTGACAAAATCGCATCACATTTATCCTGAAAATCCTAACAAATATTCTGCGTTCTAATCAAGAAATCAAAAAAAAATCTGTGCCAAAAATTTATTTGAAAGTATCAAAAGAGATTGAAATATTCTTTTCAAGTATCATGTTTTATGTTTCCTTGTCTTATTTTTTCAACGGTACAATATCGACGAGCTTTAAGCTCCGTTCATGGACGAACAGCCAATTAGAAGAGAAATATAATTCCCCTAATTAGTGTAACAAAAAATATAAGAAATGTTTTTACATTTGGGCGTATCGTTGCCAATGACTAATATAATAAAATATGATAGATATTTTTATTATATTTTACGATTACATCGATTAAATTGATTACGCGATCACATTACATTAAAATATTTTTCGATAATCTGTTAAAATATGTAAATAATTGAAATTATTTTGTATTATTTTATAATAATTACAAATTAAATTAAAAGACTTACCTGTTTGACCCTGCAAGACAGATTTCCCTTGAGCAGTAAGCATGTGAGGAGCCAGCTGGTTCCCTTGGAATGGCTTACCGGCCGTAATTACCTTTATTTGGAACAAAAAGAAGTAATTCAGACACGTAAAGCTAATAAAAATTATGTTTGAAAACACTAACATCAAAAATTAATAACAAAAATGATTGAAACAGTGTCGATTTATATTATTCTGTCCAATATTTAATTATTTATAACCATTTGTTAAATGCTCATATTTATTTTTGAAATTGACAATGACGTGCACTTTTTTTCTTTTTATTTGACATTTTAAATCACATGTGCCAAGCCAGTATAAATTAAGATTTAAATAAATACTTTTTACTAAGCAATCTCACATTAAAATTATTATTTGCTTTCACTCCCATCTTACACACCAATCCATACATTTAAAACAGTGTATATTACCTGTATTGGTTGAGAGTTTAAACCTGGGTGTAAAGCAATATTTCCAGGCATGATTAGCGGCCCTTGAGCATTGTAGAGTTGTTGTAGATAGCTGTTGTTCTGCAACGGCTGTTGTATTACTTGCACCCGGCCGCCCCAGTCCGTACTACATACAAACATACGAATATAACTCATCACACATATAAAACCTAAAATCATAACCTAAAAGGTGCACCTTCTAAAACGTTGAAAATAAATCTAGTTATGTTTGACGTTGAACATTATTATTTAATTTGAAAGCTATAATTACATAATTGATAATTGTCGTTGATTAACTATAATGATTAACTATAATAGTTAGTAACAAACAATTGACTACTATTGTATATATAAATATATCGCCAAAAGACAGTTACTTAACACTGATATTTCAAAAAAATCTAAACCGTCATATAAATCTTTTTAAAAGTTGTCCAACTACAAGACAAGTATGACAACAATTACGTGTAGAATGAAGTAGTAACTGGAAGAATAGAGTTACTAGGATGAAGATACTAAAAGAATAAAGTTATTGAAACGGCGGAGTTACTAAGGGGATTAAATTACTGAAATATAGTCGTATCATTATGATACCTCAGTTGTTGCGGATGGGGCGTGGTGGCCGGCAAGCTGGGCAATGGTGACATGGTGGTGATGCCACTGGCTTGCTGCTGGATACCGCCTGCTTGCTGCTGTTGCTGCACCTATGATGAAATTATGTTTAATTGTTGTGACCAACTACCGCACAGTCGTAAAGACTTTCAAGTGCAGCGCAGTAAGTCATCATACTGCTTGTTGTTCTGCATTTGTTTGTACCGCTGTGATTATTTTAATCTTTGCAATAGAATATAAAGCTTATGGTACTGACTATAACAACCAAAATACATTAACTACCACTGCGATGCAGAGGATTTTTGTTATTAATATGGAACATGATTACTGCTATTAATGATTTGTGATCTTGCACCCATTTCTGCTAATATTATTCGATCAAATTTATAATATTAATTTCCCATTCTTGCATAATGTTACCCATGAGTTGCAATAAAAATATTAAGTACATAGAATTATATAAAAATAACTAGAGATTAAAATAGCGGGTGAAGCGTGCATGTGGGCGTCCACATCGGGCGAATGCGCGCATGCGCGATCTGCTTGCGAACTGCGTAGAAAACGCCACGAAAAGTCGAGGATGTTAATTTCCTACCCATTTCAGTATAAAAATATTTATCCTTTAAATGATATTTCATCAAAACGAGTAAGAAATAAATGTTATCGAATGTATAAAAAAAATCGCACCGCACTCTGTGGACTTACACTTATGATGTGACGTGATTAGTAATGAGATGAAGCAAAGCGTTTACCTGATGTGCCATGCTGCTAGGCATGGATGACACAACGGTGACAGTTTGGTGGTGCTGTTGTGTCGGCTCGTGCTGGGCCATGCTAATCTGCTGCTGTACTACCTGAGCCTGACCCTGACCCTCTACTAACTGGAACAGACAAGCAACATACACATGCACACAACGCCCCTTTTTTGTCCCTTTATTTAAAAGATCTAATATTACTGGTCACTTTTGTTTTTTAACTTCAAAGAGGTGTAGGTTCGTTATTACGTCTGTATATTTTTAATAATACCTTTATGAACCAAATAAAGTTAATTCAGTGAAGAATTTTACGATATTTTTTAAATTAAAAAAAAAGAACCTTTGATAAATGATATTCCCCCACTTTATTACAATCCATTTAGTTTTTTTTTTATCAAAGACAGTTACAATGTACAATAAACAATTTCATGCAACACATAAATGTTGAATTTAAACGTATAATTCCACTGCCGAAAAACTTCGATCATTATATTTATCTCGACATTTTTTCAAACAGAATAATGGTGACAACATATTTTTATACAAGACTTTCTCCAGTGGAAATACACATTATTTTATTTTTTGACTAAAACATCCAAACGCCTATAACACTATTAACTTTGATAAACATTTAAAGCGCTAGAATTATAATTATATGCAGTTTTAATTATGTATATTGTAACTTACTTGTTGTGGTTTGATGTCCGTGTTGATGCCAGTTTTGTTGTTTTTCTCAAAGAACAAGTTGGTTTGGGGGGATGGCAAGAAACTTAAATTGATCTCTCCTATACCGGGGACGTTGAATTGCTGAGTGTGCACGGGCTAGAAGAAAATAGATAATTTTATCTATCCATATCAAACGTCGTATTCTGAAGATCACTTTCTTTTAATTATTTGAATTTGAAATTTATCACTTTTTACCTTTATGGTTAAGACGTCTAATGAAATGTAATGCATTGAAATTAATAAAACTATTATTAAATTAAAAAAAAGCAAACAAAAAAAAGAAAACATAAAGAAAAATGTTTGGTAGAATTTAACGGTTGTGGGTGTAGTAAGTACGTAAATATAAGAACATTTTAATCAAAACGTACATGGTGACGAAGAATACAGCCATCTTGAAAAAAATGTATGCAAAGAACATAATGATGTACAAGACAAAGAAAAAGTAAAGCGGAACCATGATGCTGATAATGATTAGTGAATTTTGCTATAGAGAAACGAGAACGTCTACACGATGCCACGGCTCAACTAGAACTGAACATTTCCATATACCTTTTAAGGACTTACAATAAAAACACCTACACAGAAAAATGAATATTTCTAGAAGAAAATCAGAATAGACGAACAAAAATAGTCGTAACAAATTTACAAATGCGTTTGATATCATAGAAAATGTTAAGAAATCAAACGCAAATGATAAATTTGTATTTATAATGTCGAGGGCGTTGAGAACGTTTCATAAATCCCTTTTTAATGAAGGTACTTCTGTCGATTGCCACGTAAACACTTGAAAATAATCCGAACGATGTATTGATTGGCTTTTTGCAGTTACGAAACAATTTTCCCAATGCGCAGGTCTAACATTTATATAACAGAACAAAGCTGGTCTGCGAAAAAGAAAAAAAATACATAGTGGTACATGTTAAGGTGTAGACTTTGAAGATCAGCAACAATCTCAAGTTCCAGAAGTACTGCATGTCTTTACGTACAACGGAGTAGATTAAAATGTCCACCCTTAGCAATGACACTGCAATACAAAAGAATGAACTACGAGAAAACTGCTTATAACGTTTATGTCAACACAAGTAAAAAGATGTAGTCTTTTGACATTGCATCATCAGAAAATTTCTTGAGCTGCATCTCCATTTAGGAGAGGTTGGTCCTTTTTTCTGTCTCTCTCTGACCTATAAGAGGTGAAACAGTTGAGTTACCCCTACAATTTCAGTCCACTCTCTGGTGTGGAATAGCTACGACAACATTTTTACGATCAACACTCCTTTAACTGGTGAGTTTTTCCATCTAGATATTTAAACAAAAAGATATAATCACCTGCAAGAAATTTTTCGACAAATCCGTCTGAGTCACTTGTATGTCAGTTTTCTGCGCAGATTGTTGTTGCTGCTGCGGTTGTTGTTGTTGCTGCTGCTGTTGCTGCTGCTGCTGTTGCTGCTGCTGCTGCTGTTGCTGCTGCTGCTGCTGCTGTTGCTGGTATTGTTTCTGCATCTGTAAGTAAAAGTTTTAATTTAGAATTTATAATGATTAGACATAGGTATTGAATATACAAATTAATAATTTGAACAGTTGTTGCCGTACTCAATATATTTATATTAAATAATAATAATAAATATAAGCTTTGGACTTGCTAATTCTTCCTTTCGAGGTTAAAACATGTCTATAGCTAAAAATTGTTGTACGTAAACACAAAATATAAACTTTGTAATTACAAGATAAATTTAAGGCAACCATTGATATTACTACTTAGTACCATTTATACGATTTTCTAGATTTCTCCAGACCCTTATAGCCCTCTAATGATTACAATTTTAAATGAACCCAAGACACATTATTTCGTTATTATTTTCCTTACATTTAGGTGAATAAAAATTATAATATAATACATTACAAAATCTCTACTTAAAAACATGTTCACCTAACTAGAACTATATTATGTTTAGAACATATTTATTCTGATACTAGCTACAATAAAATCGTTTCAAACAACTAAAATGATGATCTCAAAAGGGATTTAGCTAAACAAATATTAATATTATTCTTATCTATCTATAGCATTACAAACAATTCCATCAGGATAATATTGGCTATGCACTTCCCTTTCAATAACTGAGATATACTAGATATAATATGAGTTTACACAGCATATATTACTGAACGGCCCGAACTACGGTGAATCCTATAATTTCGAGGTAAAAACTAATATTTACCAACTAATTATGACGCAATTCCGAAAAGTCTTGGGATTTCTGTTTATTCCAAGCATTCGAAAACTTGGTAAATTATTTTACTCCAAATAAACGATAGATTAATAACTAAATAGCTATTTAAACATATGATATTAATTTAGCATATGTTTGAATTATCTAAAACTTGAGTTTTATCAAGTTTTTCATCATCAGCACACTATACTCTCCACTGAAGGGCTCGGAGCCTATCCTAAGTTATTTACTGTGGGTTGGTTGACTTCACACATATCTTTGAATTTCTTCGCGGATATATGTAGGTAATAAATGTAGATATATAAATCGAATCGAAAAACACATTGGTATAAGGCAGGATTCGAACCTAGGACCTGTAGTCAGACCAGTAGTTGCAAGTCAAGTGCTTGACCCATGAGCCACCGACGCTCTGAGATTTATCAAATTCATAATGGTAAATAAATAGTAGATATAAACCAAAATCACAAGTTTACGGAGTTTTAGTTAAGCTTTTCGATAACACTCGTGGTTGGTGACACTCGATTGTGCTTGGAGGAGCAATTACCGAAGTTCGGGCTTTTACAGTGATTATGTTAACAACGTATATGTTCGCAACTATATGTTATCTAAAGATTATGGTGCGTTATATACTATAGCTTATATATTTTATACATGTTAGAATAATTTTTAATTACTTAAGTGCTAAAAACTAAATTTAATGTTAGTTCACTGGGATGCGTGGGTGTGTTAATTTTAAGCTATCAAGGCGTGTTAGATTAGCGCATAAACCATTAGCGTATCTTACTGTGGGACTCTACTGTAATAACTGCATTGACACATATTGTCATCCTTCATATTCTCTTTGAATAGAACAAAGACACCATGAGTCAATACAAATGCTACGGCAGTAGAAACCTAATGTTGGTTACATGCGTTAGTATTCTTTAACGTTATTATGTTCAGATTATTATACGTTGAGATCTGACAGCCGCTAAGCAATCGTTTTGTGTTTTCTCTGCCGAGGCAATTGTAAATGAACATATTGTGTTATCTCAGATTTATCATGGGGACTGAAAGGGACGACAATTTAGTTTCATCTTTGAAATACTCCCCTGAGAGTTACGACTCAACCATTTAGTAATTTTAACTATGTATTTTATTACACGTATAGTATTAGCAGACTATCTTCACTTAGCCTTAGCGATTCGTAAGCTACGACGTAACTACTACGTAAGAATGAGTTAGGAAGATAAGGTAATTATTAACTATTAATTTTGGTTTCAATTAGAGTCGTGTTGTAAACGGTGTAACTTCTGCCGCATATGGTAAAAGTTAGGCATATTTATAGGCTAACAGTCACCCGCGACTTCGTCAGCGCAAGCTTAAAAAGCCTATCATCATATGCTTGCACGCATCAGCCATCCAAGTTCAGTCATAATTGGTTGAGCCGTTCCGGAGATTACCCGCGGAACAAACGAGGCCTTGCGGACAGATATACCAAATATACGTGTGTACGAAATATGATTTTTTTTCTATATTACATACAGACATTCCAATTTTATTATTTATTAATTTACTAGCTGTCGCCCGCGACTCCGTCCGCGTGGATATATAAAAAACTTAATTAGTGTAGCTTATGTGTTCTTTCAGACTATGTTCTATATGTATGCCAATTTAATCGAGATCCGTTCAGCCGTTCTAGAGATATCTTCAAATACCTATCAATCCATCCATCCACATCACATCCATCTAAACATTCGCATTTATAATATTAGTGAGTTAAATAAAAAGCAGCTCTTCAAGGCATAAATTCGAAAAAAAATGAATAAATAGTATCCTATGTCCCTCTCCTGGCTCTCAGCTTCCTCCTCACCAATTTTCAGCCATATCGGTAAAGCCGTTCTTGAGTTATAAATCGTGTAACTAACACGACTTTATTTTATATATATAAAGATATATATACATATTTGTATATATAACAATCGCTTCTTCACATCGAGTGAACCATTGACTATTTCCTTTCATAGTACCCCGGTTAATTTAAATATTGAGGCTACAATAATTTGCGGTAATCGCAAATACATATTTTGGGCTATGATTATTTTTTCTCACAAATGCTTGATCGATGAGGACTTTTCGGAGTTCACATACAATGATGTAAATTTTAAAAACCTTTTAAATTCGCTTATCTTGACCTGCCCATAGCAAAAATATTAGTGCCTATAGAAATAATATTTTAATTGTATTACTTTAGCTTTTACAAAAACCGTTTTTTTAACACTTAAAATTGAACGTTTACCTAATTTAGGGTTCAGTAGTGCCCTCCTCCATGCCCGAAACGAACACATTCGAACCATTTTGTTTCACTTTCAACACCTTGTTATCAGATTTATTTGCTTTTGTAAATGGACGCAAATTTGTTTTATGAATTATTTGAAGGCCGTCAGATCTCTTCATATAAAAGTGAACTAGACTAAATCTATTACCAGTTCTTGATCTTGTTGATTCTTGATGTGTTGTTGTATTGCGTGGTGCTGTCTCTGCAGCGCCTGTTGTTGGAATTGTTGGAGTTGTTGTTGCAGTTGCTGTTGTTGCAACTGATGCAATTGTTGTTGTTGCTGTTGAATTAATTGCTGTTGTATCTGTAATATAAATGTATATCTTCTTATTTCAGCTTCCTCCAATATTCTTTTGTTGTCCCAACACCAGATTTAGTGATATGAAGCATTTACGTATAATATGCATAACATATTCTATTAATTTTATTAGATTTTGAAGATAAATATTTCTGTTCCGTGTTGACGAATTGCAGCGAGAGAACTTCAATTTATTTAATTCATAACTTTTAAAGTTTCCTTAAGTATTGGTTCTTAAAATAGTTTGTTACAATTAGCTTTTTTGGGTACTGCAGAAACGGAGGAAGTTGTTAAAATAGTTATATTTATGGATTCAATATAGCGTCCGATGTAACGGCAAAGCAGTGACACCAACGATTCGGTTTTTTGGTAATAGAAACGTAGAAGATTTATTTTTGTCTGGACTAGGTCCGACACGCTGATAATCCTTATTCCATTGTCCAGATCTAAAGATAAGCAAGCAACCAATTTCAAAACGTTAATATCGAGTTTGAAAGCTAATTTTATTGTTGAAATAATGAGCTGTCTATATGTACGTAGAAGCTGAAGAGGTGAAACAGGATCCTATCAAATAAGAATTCGTATCTGTCTACCCTCATGTTTAAAGAGATCAGAAATGGAATTTTCCTGAGCAATAACGCTCAGTGATGACAGCTGTCGCTCTAAACTTTATCCGAGGGGAAGATGAATTCCCGAAACTCGCGAAATAAGCATTTAATTAATTGTCCGAAAAGTGATTTTGTTTAATTCCACTGTAGGAATTATCTGCACTACCACTTTCATCCTTTAACACTTCATGATTTTTAATTTTTCGGCGTAGAGTGATATCACGTAATTTTACCGTGAAATTGGAATGACACATGTTTTAAAACATATTGTTGTTTTAATTTTCGAAAAGAGAATGTGAGCGACGACGCTTTGTTTTTATACAAGTCGTCAGTCGAGACACCTTTAGAGAGGTGATAGATAAACGTCCATGTGGGATACGTGAACTACGAAAAATTAGTCGCGTTGTAACTTCTGCCTATACGTAGATTTGCTTTTAGAAAGGACACGTATAATTTAAATAACTAATTAGGTAATTGAACTGTTATAATTCCGTTAAGTATAAGACACAGATGTATACAGGACCGGTAAGAAACAGGTCTGGATTATTGTCTCGTATGTTACTGAACAATTATGAATTTACGACATGTAATAAACAGTCGATACCAAATTGTGGTTTGATTTATTGCTTGCTTGACTTTTATACATAAAAAGGACCGCGAATACGCCCGCTATTTACAATTGAATGTCATGTTTATTTCGAAGTAACGGTGTAATAATTTAATTAAATTTGTGTCGTAACTTTTCTTGATAAATAAATAAAAAAAACTTTCAAGCTTCTAATTGTAAAAATGACATTACTTCCATACAAAATTTCCATCCCTTACAACCCTTTTTCGCGCTAAAAATAGAATCAAAGCTACCTGTGTACGAAATTTCATTAAATCAGTTCAATCGTTTTGGCGTGAAACTGAGACAGACAGACAGATTTATTTCAGCATTTCTAATATAATAGAAGTAAGGATTTATATTCTGTACGTTTAAAATTCCTCTCCAGCATGTAAAGCATTTTAATTAAAGTCAAATTTTGTCCGTTGTTTTAAATTTTTTTGGGATTTTTATTGTTCAAGATTTTGTTATTTTTTTAAATTTCGTTCCAATGATGGAATGAAATATATTTTTTTTAAATGGTATTATTTTCATTATGATTATATTATATATTATAATACACATATATTCTCTGGGTGTGTGTATTAGTCCAATCCAGCTCAGTATTAGCTAAGTTTTGGTTAAAGTGAAAATTTGTATTTTATACATATTTTGGGTTCGTATGATTTGAGATAGATATAATTAATTCAATTTAACTATGGTTGATTTTGATTACCGGTATTTTAGGTTCTCAATGACTAACCGTATTTTTTAACAGTAACGTTTTACCCGTAATTTGTTAGTAATGTCACACCGGGTCGTTAGATGGCGCTTTTATCCATCTATGATTACGAAATATAATTTATTGTTCAATATGCTAACTTAAAGTAAATTTATATGAAGAGAAGATATTTGTTGCAAAACCTTCACCGCGTAAAGTTACACGAGATGCAAGTAAATATCAAACGTGATGTGACTCGCGTTCACAACGCTAACAAAATCATGCATGTTAGAAGCTTAATGTACATTACGAGAACACAAACACTTTAACATTTTATACATTTCGTTTTTGACCATTTATTAAATAAACAAATATTATTTACATATATACTGGTGAATCATATCTAAAATATTAAGTGCAATTTAAAAAAGATAGCCTAACATAAAGCATATTTTTACCCTTAAAAATATACATTTATACATGAAGAATTACAAATTCTTATACATATATATACAATCATAGCCTTCACCAAACCTAAATTTCTAAAATCTAGTACCAATTAGTATCTAAACTTAACAGAATACCTTAGCTAGAGGACTCATTCCTAAATTTAAATAAATTACTATTTATAATTGAGTTAGAAAAATAAAATAAAACTTAAAAAGCTGTTATTCTATTTCTTTGGGCCTGTATTTTGTATCACTAAGCATTTGTAAACTCCTTTTAAGAACACAAGACAATGGAACTTCGAAATTTTCACAGCTTCAAGTCATGTTTGAGAACCAATAGCTAGAAACATATTCTGATAAGTTCATTTGAATTTCAAGTCCTATGTTAGCATTATATTTGTCTAAGATGATAAACGACACCTTATCCATTTTAACCAACACCATTTGGAAAGTTCATCAATGCCTCCAAAAAGGATGATTTTTTTTATAATAATCAAATGAATTCACAAATGATTTTATATGGATTCTATTGGAAATATTAACTTTAGATATATTCAAGAGATGTAGTTTTTTAATGTACCAAAACCTTTTAAGGAGCATTGACTCATAACTTAGCTATGTTATAAACACACCCACACACCCACATGCAGTTTTACCTATGCAATTTTTTTTTTTGCAAACATTATTTTATCAAATTTTAGTAGCCTTACTAATTGTTAATTATTACAAAGATTAACATGTTTAGTTTAATTCGTACCTGTGTACTTAGTACCAGAAAAGTGTAAATTATTCATTATGTAATTTGAAAAATTGTGGCTATTAAGCTTTATACATAATTGCAGTGCAAATTGTTTAACAAATATCAGCTTGTTTCAGATAGTGATAAAGACTAGTTTCAATGAGGATCACACAGGATTGTTGTTAGTCATGCGCATTAAAATATTTTATCCTTCATAATTTCAATTACCTGTAACTTATCATCCTCCTCTTTTGGATTTCTATATCTGTACTCTTCAGTTGCCTGTTGAGTATCTGGTTCTAATTTTGGCTGCTTCAGCTCTGGTCTCCGGTAAGGATTGTTCTGTTTGTCTAATGCTAGCAGCGTATTAGCAGCCTCGTACTTATCCTCAAAGGTGATGCCAGCTTTCTCAGCAAGAGTCTCCAGACATTGTAGAGGTCTCTTTGTTACCTTAGATTGGCTTTTAGTTTTTTCAGGTTGACCACTACCTGGAGATTGTTTTGATGTTGTTCTAGTTATTGTAATACTGTTCTTATTGTTCTCATCTTTCTTATCATTCTTGGGTTCTAATGTAAAATAGTTTTTGGGATAATTATTATTATCTTTATCTTTTTCGCTATTGGCAGCGCCGTTTTCAATCAATGTTATTGTTGTTGAATTAGCCACTTTTATTGTTTTATCTTTGGATTCTTCTTTCGGTTGGATGTTTGAGCCAGATCCATGTGGTGGACTGAGTAACTGTACAGGGACATGCTGTGTCACTGGTGCATTTGTATTTTGTTTTTCAGAATTATGTTTATCACCAGATTTGGATAACTGTTGTTGGAAATTAGATGGATGAGGTTCTTTATCTTGGTCCTTTTTTTTAATGTTATCTAGTATTTCAGTCCTGAAATAGAAGAGCCATGAGCTGTTTAGTAAAAAAATATTGACCTAAGTTCATAACACAATGAAAGACACATAAACACAGTTCTTAAATTGTTGTAGCCTATACTTTTGTAAGACTTGCAGGAAGTTTTTTTGCGTGTAAACATAACTATTGATTACAATCTTAGCTAAATATGATAATAGTGGATGTGCTTAGCTTATCATTAACAACAACACAGAGCAACAATTAACATGCAAGGAGTATCACATCTAAAGAATTTTACTTCTATTCACTATAGTTGGCATTAAAATAGATTTTATTTCGAATGTATTTGTTTGATAATTTTAAAAATTGTACCAAAATATTAAAAAAAAGAAACTGATACTGTCAATGTCAATTAAGAACTATAATGTCCTGTCAAAGTTGTCAGCTGTCTAGTTAGCGGAGCATAGGTAGTAAATTAATTTTATTCTAGCGCCAGTGAGAAAAAAATAAAAAAAGGTAGACGATAGATGGCGCTGAACAATTATTGTCTTCAGGTTTTCGTGCTTTGGTCATAATAAGATATAAGAGAATACGTATTTATAGCCGAACAAGGACATAAGACCCGACAAAAGAGGCACTGCTTTCACAGTTGGTTATATCATAAAACCAAAATAAAAACATGTCTGTATGAAAAGGATCTTGTGAAACTTTTGACATTGACAGGAGGACGCTAGTGAGGTGGGCTATCATAATTACGTTTGACTTATGCCCACCGGGTCAGATAACGTTGTCGGTCTATAATTTTAAATCGTCTAAATGTCAGTGTCACCATCTTGCAGTGACGTAATTTTGATTATAAAACTAATTAATTCTATAGCGAATTAAAAATGACTGTTCGAGTTCAATTGGCGTAAATAGCGAATATTTTGTTTCCAACGTGAATCGTAAGCATTTAATTGTGAAGAGTTGCTGTTTTCGTTTTGCAGTATCAATACTAGTAATTTTTAGATATGTAATTGTAGAATTAGGATAGAAATTGATTACCGAACGACTGATCGCAAATATGACATTTGTTTGCGGGTTATTCAATTTTGTGTTCATTATCGTTAGTACAAATAAGTGTTGAGACAAAAAAAATTATTTAATGATGACGTTAGGACTTATTTTTTGGTCCTTCCATTTATTTCAAAATGATCCTAGTAACGTAAGTACAACGCTATGTTTTGTTCGTAGTCATTTATATATGCGTGTTGCTCTTTAAACTAGTAAATATTAACTATGACATTGCTTGTTACCAATAACAGGCTAAATCCATTGCAACCTAGGTAATTATTAGTAAGATAATAAAATTTTGCTCCATAATGTAAAGTCTTTTTACCTTTTTCGTAAATATATAAATATATTAATTAACAGAAAGCTAAAACTTTAAGCATGCCAGGTGGAATATGTAAAGGAGAATTTATTATAGCAAAAATTGCTATTCAAATGGGATAAGAAAATGTTAGTTACATTTTCCCATGCCCATTTTTTGCATTATTAAAACTTACCATTTCCTCTACTAATACAAGGGTACACCTATTTAGGAACAGATACCTAAATAAAAACGGCCTGTCTGGCTTTATTTCACAAGGGGAAGCAAAAAATAATGAAAAAGTGCGAGCAAGAGGGCATTATGCGGACACGTGTGGCATAGAAAGAGAAATAGTGAAGCGCACTAGGGGAGTCGGAGAGCAAACCGGTTCTGCATGTGTGCAGACAGTCGGCGCCCTTTCTCCCCACGCCTGTCGACTGTCGACCCTCGGGCGCTAGGGCCTCACATTGTCAGCTTTTCCCCGAAGCGTGGCAATAATAATACTAACCGACTCCCCCTATATTAAACTAACAACAAAGCCTCAGGGTACGTGCTCTTTGAAGTATGAATTTAAAGCATGGCGCGGTGAGAAACTGTAAAAACGGAAAAAATTCGAAATGCCAAGCAAGTTTCCTTTCTCTTCAACTTCTTTCAAAAGTTGGTACAGAAGTCGATTTGCGAATGTAGGGTATTAGCGGTCTGTTACGATCACAGGTATCATTCTCCATAGCCACACGAGACGCATTCGACCACATTAAATCGCAACCACAAAGTAAAAAACAACATAAAATACCTTTTAGTGTAAAAACCATAAGAACTACGTTCCATCGTTTCAAAATAAAGGATTAACTTAAACGTAAGCGCCGACCCATGCGGCAATTATTGAAAGAAAAAACAAACAAAATGTTAAGGAACGAGACATTCGCACGAGTGAAAGTAATCACAACACTAGTTATCGATGAAAACGGCATACAAACACACTTTATCGATACCCCGACGACGGTATCATTATAGGAATAACCTTCGTTCCGAAAGGCAAAGCACGACTGTGCGGTGTGGAGCGCCGCGTATCCGCCGCCGCGCCGCGCTACGCCGCACCCATGGCCGTCGCCCCCCGCGTCACACGCTCTCGAGCGTCCATCGCCAATCGTACGCCCGCCCTGAATCTGGCTCTCCTATTGGTCGATTCATTTTCTGACCGTTCCACATACAAAACCGGTTGCCAAGAACGACACGAAGGGGCGCAAGGGACGAATTTAGCAATTCTCTATTATTATTCTTACATCGTCCATCTCTTTCTAACGTTTTGTTTAGATGGAGACAGACTTCACAAGTAACGCTTGCTTTGTACAACAGATTTGCTTTTGTTTTGTTCATATTTTTGGACAGATTTTTGAACAATAATTCGTCTCTCTCATCATATATACCTGTTTCACTGACACAAGATCAAGTCAAGTCATAAAGATTTCCAAAATATATAACAAGAAACTCCATATCAATTCAAGTAAAAATATTGAGCAGGGTTAAAGAGAGAAATTTTATCATTGCGCAGTTTGAGGGTTTCACTGTTCAACCCCAACGGCTTCCTAAAAACCACCCTTATAATCCGACAGTATTTGTAATAGGGTGGAAATCACCCTATATTTAAATAAAATACTCCCTACAAAATATTATTAGGTACCCGTATTATTTACATATTAAAAACCAGAAAGTGCGTTTTAAGTTCACGTTTTTACATAATGTTTGACATTATGTCACAATTAAAATTGCTAGTGAATAGTATTTGGAGAACCAATAAACTTATTTAACTTTTTGAGGTTAAGTTACTGAATATAATCCTGTCTATTAATTAGAAGCTATTTTGAAAAAAAAAATACCGTTACAACTAAAGAAGGAAGGTTAGGGATAAAAGTATTTACTAATTTGTTTGTTAAAAAAATTTTAAAATTAGATTCCAATGTGGCCAGGGTGCACGTAACTTTCTGATGTCTTCTTATAATCGTGATTCACTTCTGTAGCTTTACTAATTTGTTTGTCATATTGTTTGACGTTTCTCGTTCAATTAAAAAAATAATCGTGTAACATTGGCACTTTTGATTTAAATCTAGATACAATATAATATAATAAGGTTCATCTCAATCTAAAGTCCGACAAACTTATCTGACCCGTTGAGAGAGGCGCTGCTTATCGCGGTTAATTTTGTGAGAATATACATAAAACATACTTAAGACACAGGAAATGTCATAAAAGAAAAAAATACATAACAGCTACAGTGCAAAGAGGGAGAAACTTGAGAAGGGGGCGCTAGTGCGCTGCCATAATTTAGTTAAACTTATGTGCATAGCTTCAAATTCGGTCTATTAAAGGTAAAAGGCACGGTCTGTTTGGAATAAAATGACACAAAACAAAACAGCGACAGAACTTCAATGATTTTGTGACATTTTTTGGCATTGACAGGGGGGCGTTAATGAACTATTGTATTAGTGTTCCTAATGCCCACCAGGTCATATAACTAACGATAACTTTGTCTCGCTTCAAACCCGTTGATTGTGAATTTCACAATTTGGTAATGGGGCTACCAACAGAGAACAAAAAGTGTAAAATTTAGTATAAAATTTTCAACATTTGACAATGATTGATCGAAGATACTAAGAAGTACTAAGAATACTAGTGATTGAAAAGCGCCATCTATCTCAGTTCCTTGTTATTTTCTGCTACCGCCATCTATTTTTTATTTTTTAAATCAAAAGTTAATGCAAAAAATGTCAAATAGGATAAATATAATTAATACGAATATCAGAAATAATATAATAAGTACTTTCTACCATTTTTTTATTTACGTTTATATGAATATCCTCCTTACTGAACCACTGTCCTAATCGGGATAAAATTACTCTTTGGACGCCAAAGAACGTCTATAAGTACCTAAATATTTTTTATGTGTGTTTACTTTAAGTGTACCTATTTGCATAAAATAGTTTATGTATTGCATAACCTGTTTTGTAATTTGAAATCTTCAAATTGGATAATGGCTGATTGTAAAAATAACGAAAGCGGGAACTTGATAGATTTCGTCGACTACCTGAGGTGTCCGTTATTTATTGGAGGTAAGTCGGAACCGAAGTGCCGTCCTAACCTAACTTTTTTTTACTAAAACTTGACAGCCATATTCGTTTGAGGCGGTATCCATTTTTATTATATAACTCTTTTATACGGATGTATGTCACTGGACTCCTCCTAAATCGGTGGACCGATTTTAAATATTTTTTGTTGGCATATTTGTAAACCAGTTTTGAATGGTCACTTTTATGATTTACTGCCGTACTCAGAATCATTAATTGGTAACTAAGGAAGTCCGTTTGTGTAAGACGCTTAATGACCACTTAACAACGAAGTGCCACAATAAGTGTAACAATTAGACTGAAAGTTTAATAATATAGATGAAAGCTTGATTTCCTCATACGAGTTCTCTAAATTTCCATGATGTCTTATTCAATTATGATGAGACTTAATGTTGCCCCTGACTCCGTCCTCGCAGAATTATAAAAAAAACTTAATAACTTGCTTATGTTTTTCCGGATTATGTTCTACATCTATGCCAAATTTCATCGAGATCCGTTGAGCCGTTCCGAAAATACATTTTAACGAACATCCATCCAACCAAACATTTGCATATAATATTAGT